GTTTTGCAGTTTTGAGGCTGCAAGGGTAGAGTCCTGCTGCTCAGGCCATCCTTTCTATTCTCCTGCACCTTGACACAGGAGATCCTCTTGGATCTATCTTTCCAGTCCACAGCTTTATCAGAGATTTTTTTCTAGACAAACTCACATCATTTTAAGTCATCCTTCTAGGTTCTTTGCTCTTGATTCTCAACACAAATCTGATTCAACATCCCCAACAATAGCCATGCCACTGCCTGAATGCCTTGAAATTTCTTTTGCAAGATTAATCAGACAGCTATGCTTAATCTCACGCTCAGGTAAAGTCTCTGGACATGAGCAAAATGAAGATAAACTTTCTGCCAAACCATAACACACATTGTCTGGAGTCAAACAACCAATGAAGTCCTACTTCCCAGCAGACACCTTCCAGCCTGGTCTTTACAGACAGGATTTCTGCCAGCATTCTGGTCTTCTGAGCTCCGATCAGAATCTCCCCTCCAGAATAGCTGAAGGCATTCTCTTTCAGGCAATATCTCTGAAACTTTCCTATCTCTTCCCATAAGCCATTCCCTAAGGTTTGTAATCCACATGACCAGGTATAATCACAGCAGTGGCACCCCACTCCCTTTATGAAATTCTGTCTGGGTTACTTTTCTCTCATTATTGGGACAAAATATCCAACACTAACAATTAAGGAAGGAAAGGTTTATTTAGCTCACACTTAGTGGAACTTTTAGCCCATACTTGATGGGCTCCAAGGCAGAGTGGCACATGGCAGAGGGCAGCAGTTCACAGTGGCCAAAGCAGCAAAGAGCAAAGGGAGGAGGAGCAGCTGTGGCAGCAAGCAAGCCTCTCTCCCTTACATTGTATTCAGGCTGTCCGCTGCAAGGCAGGCGTGACATCACACTCATTATCCCAGCGTTGGACCAGGAGCTAATCACCAACTCCAGAAGCCTGCCCCAGGGACTGCATGGGGCTCTGAGGGACACCTAGACACAAACCATAACAGTCACAAAGACATCAATAGAGGCTGCTGTGTGTCTCTATTGCAGCATTAAAATTTAGCAGCCTGAAAACCATTCCATTTTTATCTCAATTTTATGTACCAGAAATTCAGATGGATTGTCTCTGATCCACTGTCTCAGATAACATAGGGAATCAACTTCCAAGTTATCTGTTTTGTTCCCGAAACATCTGTATGCATCAGTATGGCATAGGGGGCAATGTGTGCACTTTCTTCCTCTCCATGCTCATTGTTCCTTCTCCACATGGCTTCGGCCTGTACCAGTGTGGCAGCCTTTGGGGTCTGGAGTTCTCCCCTGGCAGCTCAGGACTCCACAAGACCAAGACAGAGGCTTCCAGTGCTCTTAGCAGCTGGATCTAGAGCTCCAGTAGCAATGCTTCCGTCATTCTCTGTGGGCCAAACACATCACAGTTCAGCTCAGTTTTAAGGGGAAGCAATGAGACCCTTGGAGGAAAGAGTACTGAAGAATTCGCGGTTGCTTTCAGTCCTCCACAGAGCATGTTAGAAAATAAGATGGTATGTCATGGGGGGACAAAAACATCTGTTTCTCTTTGGAAAAAATATATAGAAAGCAGGCATAATTAAAGAAAAAGATTTCTTTTCTATTGTTTGTTTTTTGGAAAATGTTCATGATAGGTAATAATTGCTTTCATTTAAAACTTTAAATCATTCTTGAAGGATTTCTCTGTCGTTATCTCATCTTTTGGAAGGATCCTTGAGCTACAGTAGGTCGGAGAGGTTGCTAGATCATAGCGTGTGCTGTCTTCCACATTTGGGGGTGAGAAGAGCAGCCCCAAGGCCAGGTGAAATGGGAAGTCGGCCACAGAGAGCGGAGTGAGCCCCAGGAGCAGAGCAGGCCAGAAGAGGGCTTGCCAGGCACAAGACAGCAGGTGCTCCAGAGGCTGGGAGGAGACTGGGACCGTGGAGCCACGTAGGCAGGGAGACTGAAGACTCCTCACAGGACACGAGGGCCTGGGACCCAAAGGCTGAAGAATTATAATATAATACAAAGGGTGAGCCAGGAAAGGTACCTTAGGACACTAGAATGTTTGCACCAGAGTGATAGTAATTACTGGTGTGTGTGTGTGTGTGTGTGTGTGTGTGTGTGTGTGTGTCTGTACATAGAAGTTAGCCCAGGGAGGCTTTCCTGAGAGTTTACATACGGCACCTGAACAGGGACACACGTTCATAAGCTATCAGCATATGAGCTGATAGGACTCACTCAGTCCTTGAAACTGGTAGGTTTCAAGGTAAAATCGCCTGGAAAGAGTCTGTGCAACTTGAATTTGGAGAAATACCAATGTTTAAAGGACAGATACGACTTCATATAAAAGAAGTAAAACAAAATAACAATAAGAAAAATTTCAAAGGAGACATGAGAAGAAATTAAAGATATTGTGGTGTGAAGCAGGCTTCCCAGAGAGGAGGAGTATTTACCTGCGAAATGTGGCTGAGAATTCAGGAAACCTGACAGGAGCTGTGCGGCTCAAGGCTTGGAGAGAAGCTTGGTTGAGTTGGGAGATGAGGAACGAGTGACTCAGGGTGGAAGCCACCTGGTTGGGCTGGGAAGAGGAGGCAAGGAGGGAGCAGCCCCAGGAGCTTCTCTCTGGACAGTGAGAAGCCATAGAGAGGCTTCAGGCAAGAGGATGGTACACGACTGGGGGAACATCGGCGGTCAGCTGAGATGCATCCCCAGGCTTTGTTGTTCTAAGCACTGGCAGCTTTGGCTTAGAGCTGACATTGAAAGATTCTTCTTCCTGTAGTGTATCCAAGAGTCCACTGAGGCACATAAATGAGCCTGTCCTGGTCACGTGCTGCCTCCCTCACTGGACACCCACACTTATGGCCAAACTCTGGCCCCAACAGATCCAAGCTGGTGCCATCTCAGTGTCCTCAACAGCTTGTCTTCATGTTCAGGGCTGCAGCTATCCGCAGGGCTGCTGGACAAGAACCCACATCACCCTCACCACTGCTGCTGCCAAAAGGGGGGACAGGACTTGTGAGCTGTCCATTTGCATTTACTCCCATTAGGTGACCCCACTGGTTCCCACCCAGGCAGAGGCAGAGACAAAGCAGCAACTGCCTTTCTCCTCCTCTGCCTCTCCTCTCTCCTCTCCCTACCTTTCATCTCTCTCTCTCTCTGTCTCTGTCTCTGTCTCTCTGTCTCTCTCTCTCTCTCTCTGTTTCTCTCTCTCACAAATAATAGGTCTCTGAAGACCAGGAAGTTCTTTATTCTCTTTAATTCATTTAAAGAACATGTAAATGTATGGGGCTGGCAAGATAGCTCAGCGGTCTAAAGCAGTTGCTTAGGCAAGTTTAGGCAGATGCAAAGGACCTCAGCTTGATCCCCAGCACCACATGCATGCCAGCCATGCCCTCAGGGCAGGATGAACCAGCCAAAAAAAAAGAAGAAGAAGAAGAAGAAGAAGAAGAAGAAGAAGAA